TCTACAAACACACACCTTAGTTTACTCCTGTGTGTTACTGATTCTGAGGAACTACATTGTTTGGTGGAAGAGTAGTGTTTTTATTAATATCATTACACTTTATTTGCTCTGTTTTATTCTGTGAAACCTTACTACGTATATGGAATAACCATTTTATAAAAGCAATAAGCCCCGTGAAGCTGTGGTTTACAGTGAATTTAGAACAGCTAAGGGGGTTTTAGGCACTCCGCTTCATGTCGTGTCTAACATCGCCCCTTAGCTGTTCTAAATTCCCTGTAAACCACGGCTTCACGGGGCTTACTGCTTTTATAAAACACATACAATCATGAGATCACGTTGTAGTACATCAGTTAGCGTTAGGAAACAATGAGTAGAAAACAAAGGATAAAATCACATTATATAAGCTAATTAAACAATAATTTGTAAATTATGTGACAATGAATCAAGGACTCACTATTTGTACAAAACCTATTAATGTATAAACAATGAACTACAATTGATAAACTATGAATTAACTAAAAACTAATAGTTTGCAAATGATTTATAAGTATTTTATTACCGTGTACTAAGTGTTGCCTGTATGTTTTCCTAGTTAATACAATTTCTGGAAAAAAAAAAAAACATTAAAGATGCTAAGTTTGGATCAGTGCTATCAAATATTATGTTCTGTGTTACAGTGAAGAGATACAGTATGCTAATCGCACTTTCAAAATATTGACATTGGGCTGTAAAATCGATTAATCGCGATTAATCGCATCCAGAATTAACGTTTGTGTTTACATAATATATGTGTGTGTGTATTTATATGTATGAAGACACACACATATATATGTACATATTTAAGAAATACATGTAATAATATGTGATGATAATAAACAAGCTTTTATTTTGGATGCAATTAATCACAATTAATCGATTTTGCAGCCCTACATTGACATACTGTAAAACCGGTAGTGATGCGTCTTAATGTGGCAGGTTTGAATATTTTAATTGATTTTAAATATGTTTGTTATTTTAAACGTATTTTAAATACTAACATTATGCATTATGAATTATGTTTTGACACCTTTCAGTACTCGCATACAGGCTTAAGTTTATTTATGCTGTACGATTCTGGTAATGATTTGAGTATGAAACAGTCTGATAATTGAATGAAAGCTGTCTTGCGTCACTCAGTTAGGCTAAATCTCTTCTCAGATGGGTTGTTTTGATTTGTGTGTCTCTGTGCAGTTTTGGTTTAGTTGTATTGCTTTTGTTTTCTTTGTTAATTTTGCTTATCCAGAGTCCATGCCTTAGTAGAAGAACCACGCCTTTTGTCCCTAGGGTCCAGGTAACATCGTCAGACTTCTCTCTCTTCCTCTGCTCAGTCTCTTTTTAATCTTTTCTTTCATTTCTGGCAGTCTTTCTCAATCCTTCATTACTCTCGCTCTCTCTCTCTCTCTTGTTGTTTTTTTAGGATTTATTTACTGTGTAAGAATAGATGCATGTGTGAGATTGAATCTTTAGTTGAATTCGTTCCCAGGTAGCTGCCACGGAGACTTTCAAAGCTGCTTCGTTTAAATTCTGCTTTGGGTTGAAATCAGATAATCACACAAAGTTTGAGTATTTTTCATTTTTGTTACATTTCTGTTCTGTTGTGTGATATGTTATTTGATTTGGATTGCTGGGCTTTGAAAGTGTCTGTCAGTTTTAGACTAAATGTGACAAATTGTGATTACTTTCGGCTCATCTGATTGGACGAGACCTGTGGCAGACACGCCCTCATCCCCTGGCCAGCCAATGAAGGATGGGATATTCCACCGCCCAGACTGGCAGCATACAAACAACTGTTCACATCCTGTCACCTGCAGCCCAACATGCCAGATGGCACAAATCATAGACAAGAATATTCTGGGTTCAATGCAATTTTAAGTCAATTGGTGTCCATCAGTGGCATACATTATTCCAGAAACTCGTCCCTCAGTTTGTATCCTGGTACAGTGCCTTGCCCTGCAGTAATTGCAGTACTGTTTAAATAAATATAAATAAATAGGTTACAAACTGAGATACAAGTCAAAATTATAGTCTATAGTAAAGAAGCTGTATTTAACCTGGAATATTGAGGACAGTAAAAAGTCAGACACCTTAAACACTGTGCTGTCAAACTATGTGATTCAGTGCTTAGAAGTAGTTGAATTTGGTATTTGCTTCAGTGGTGAATTTAGCTGATGATTAGAGTCTGAGGAGTTGAGAGGTAGTCAGCTTGATGTAGTTGGTGTGTGCTGGTGCTGTTCCTGCTCTGGGAAAGATCTGCCAAGCATGTGATGCTGCACACGTTGCATAAAGAGCTCTGCAGGTCTGCCCTGGACCTTCTGGGGTGAGCTCTCCTCACAGACCTCCTAACAGAGCCCGTCTCTTCCTGCAGGTCAAGCTGTGGTACGATAAAGTAGGACATCAGCTCATCGTCACTGTCCTGGGCGCCAAAGACCTGCTTTCACGAGAAGACGGGCGACCTAGGAATCCATACATCAAAATCTACTTCCTCCCCGACAGAAGGTACGTCAGAGTTCAGATATATCCAGTTTTTGTCCTTCAAAAATAATCATTTTTGTTTTCAAAAGAAGTCTCACCCAAGCTCTAATTTATGTAATAAAAAATACAGTAAAAATAGAAATATTGTGAAAAATTATTTACATTTCAAATATCCATCGTCTATTTGAATATATTTTAAAATGTAATTTATTTCTGTGAGGCAAAGCTGAATTTTCAGCATCATTACTCCAGTCTTCAGTGTCACATGATCCTTCAGAAAGCATTCACAATTCTTTAATGCATAGAAATTCCAAAAAAAACTGATTTTAAAATGTTTGTGCAGTTCTCCAAAATAAAAAAATAAAATATAAAAACAATTAATGTATATTCATATCAACATTATTTCAGTTATATTTGAAAATGTCTAAATATATATATTCTATTTTCATTTTATTTTAATTTTTAATTTTTTTGAGGAGGGGGTGAAAAAACAACAGCAACAGCAGCATTATGCCATAACATCAGTGATTGCTTCTGTATTGGTAATAACAAAGCACTTAATATTGATGACTCTAAAACTGAATAATAATCTGAGGTTGGAGGATCATCAAAGTAGAAATTTAAAGACGTAAAATAAAGCTGAAGTGAAGATATTTGTGTCTATCCACAGTGAGCACATGAAGCCTTCAAAATCACATTGACATAATTGCTTAATTATCAATTTTTATAGTAAACCCACTGAGTATTTTCAGGACACAAAGTGTATTTTTTTTTTTTAGAAGACTGCAAACTTTAATAACCAAGACTTCAAAACCTAGTGAAATACATTGCAATCCTCAGAATCCGTTTATAGAAGGGATTTTAACCTGGGGAAAATGAATGTGAAATATTTTGCAACCCAGATAATAAAATAACAACTAATAAAGCTATACATACCATTTGTAAGTAAGAAAAATCGTATCTGAAAAAAATGAATGAATGAATAATTAGGTGTAATGATGTCTAAAAAAGTGTGCGTTTAATTAAAACGTTTCAAATCGGGGGTCCTAGGATTGGTTTAGTGTCTCTGTAGGTCTGTAAAGTCACATCAGCAGCTGTAAATTATGAACTCACCTGCTCTTCTCAGCGATAAAAGCAAGAGGAGAACGAAAACAGTGAAGAAATCTCTGGAGCCCAAGTGGAACCAGACGTTCATGTACTCGCCGGTGCACAGACGAGAGTTCAGGGAGCGCATGCTGGAGATCACGCTGTGGGACCAGGCCAGAGTCCGAGAGGAGGAGAGCGAGTTCCTGGGAGAGGTGAGAGAGACACCGACACCGTCCTGAAAAGATCTCGCAATATTTACACAGTGTGATGCAAGACAGCTGTTGAGGCAACAATATCAGACGTGAATAGAAGTTTTAGTTTAACATCAATTATAAAACTATTTTGTGCCTTCCTTAGCATTATAACTGGACGTTTTTTTTTCGTTTATTCCACATTTGCACTGCATCTTAAGCTCATAAAACACTGCAAGTCATGATAAACGGATGTGTGTTTGATGTAGAGCTGGATGATTAATTGAAAAGGAATCGAAATCGAAATGGACTCTTTCCCCGCCAGCATTTTTGAAAAAAGTTGCCAGCCACCGCCAGCGATTTTGATGATTTTCACTAAAATTTGATGGCCTCCAGTATATTTTGCTGTATGAATATCTGAATATGCAATACAGCAAAATAATGATCAGAGCCTCTACTTTTAAACAAGTTTATAAGTTTTTAAATAAGTTTTATTCTAGCTTAAAGCATTCTTTTTTTATCAACACTTGAATATAGGTAGGTTTCACAAAAATGCATAATTTTGAGCAAAAACTACATCTGGATAATATTCAGTAAGATTATCAAAGCATAAATCCAGTAAATCGCTTCCATTAATACCTCCAAAGCTTGCACAGACATATACCACTTCCCGGATCAACATTTTACTCTGTAACATTATGCAGATTTCATTTATATGCTTGTCTATTGCTGATGATCGCATTATTTTTCATATGCAAACGGTTTTGTACTCGTTCAGAAGATGCGTAATAGCGCCCCCCCGAGTGTCTAACAGTGAAAACACGAAAATACGTAAAAACTCGTCTTTGGAAGAGTTTTCTTGTAAAAGACGAGATAACTCGTCAATGGCGGGGAAAGAGTTAAGAAAGTCTAACCAACGTAATTTTCCCATGTCAGTTATTTCGTTTTTTTAATCCTATTAATACTTTCCCCTTAAAAACATACTACCATAGTCGGCGCTATACGGATGTGACCGTTGCGCTCGCGTCTTTTGCAGCGTCTCGCGCGTTAAAAGAATTTAAACTTTTACACGCAGCGCCGCTCATAAATGTCATTTCCAAAACAGTGGACCAATCAGAAGACACCGGAGGCGGGGCAAGCGTTGCATGCTTTTGCTTACAGTAGCAGGTTGGCATGGCAACTTTTGTACTTGTGACCCTGGACCACAAAACCAGTCATAATGGTCCATTTTTTTTATTTATACATCATCTGAATAAATAAGCTTTCCATTGACATATGGTTTGTTAGGATATGACAATATTTGGTCGAGATACAGCTATTTGATAATCTGGAATCTGAGGGTGCAAAAAAATCGAAATATTGAGAAAATCGCCTTTAAAGTTGTCCAAATGAAGTTCTTAGCAATGCATATTACTAATCAAAAATTAAGTTTTGATATATTTACGATAGCAAATTTACAAAATATCTTCATGGAACATGATCTTTATTTTATATCCTAATGATTTTTGGCATAACAGAAAAATCTATAATTTTGACCCATATAATGTATTTTTGGCTTTTGCTACAAATATACCTGCGCTACTTAAATCTGGTTTATGACTGGATTTGTGGTCCAAGATCACTGAGATGCTGCCCTGCTCTTTCTCTTAATCAGCAGTGTTCTATTTACATTCATTATTTAAATCATTTGTTTTCAGGAGATGCAAGTTATTATTTTCTACTTTTCACATTCCTTTTCACATTATTTAAAATAATATTAATTTACAAGAGATACAAGTTATTTTCTACTTTTCACATGATGATATTTAAAATGTATTTTGTTTGCAAGAGATGCTGGTTATTTTCTACTTTTGACATGGCAATATTCATTTATTTTGTTTGCAACAAAATGAAAGATAAGAAATGCACTCTTTCATTAGGAAAAACCCCCCCACCTTTAATAGTTGAGTATATTTACAGTGCAAACCTTTAATGAACTATGAAAAAATAAATAAATAAAATAATCGTTCAATAATCGTAATCGAGGTAAAGTGTTCAATTAATCAAGGTTTTGATTTTAGGTCATATCACCCAGCCCTAGTTTATATCCTGTGTGTTTGTGTGTGTAGATTCTGATCGAGCTGGAGACGGCGCTGCTGGACGATCAGCCTCACTGGTATAAGCTCCAAACACACGACCTGTCCTCGATGCCACTGCCGAACCCCTCGCCCTGCATGCAGAGACGCCTCCTGCACGGAGAGAGCCCCACACGCAGGTTACAGAGTACGTACTGTTACAGCAAACACAAGCACACACTCTCAGGAAGAAATACAAAGCTGACCCTAAGGTACAAAAGCTAGACGGTACGTCTTTATACAATTTTTTTTGCTCCTTAGTGGCACATATTAATATTAGTGCTGTCAAACGATTAATCGCGATTAATCGCATCCAAAATAAAAGTTTTTGCTTACACAATATGTGTGTGTGTACTGTGTATATTTATTATGTATATATAAATACAAACACATGCATGCTTATATTTAATAAAAATATGTTATGTTTATATATTAAATATATTTATATTTATAAATATAACATATAAATGTATATATCAAAATATATACTGCATGTGTGTGTATTTATAGATACATAATAAATATACACAGTACACACACATATATTGTGTAAGCAAAAACTTTTATTTTGGATGCGTTTAGTCGCGATTAATCGTTTGACAGCACTAATATTAATATGTTGGTGGGAATGCATTACAAGTAACTCAAGTTACGTAATCAGATTACTTTTTTCAAGTAACTAGTAAAGTAACGCATTACTTTTAAATTTACAGTAAAATCTTTGAGTTACTTTTTGAATTGTGTAGCGTAAGTTACTTTGTTTTTCCATGTATTCACCGACAGCACTCTTGTCCCCATGTTAAGAGAAATTGGAGGCACTTACTTCAGCCCGAGGCTTATTCATTTCACTTTTGGTGTGAAAGGGCCTTTAGAGTTGCCAAAAATTGATTAATAAGCAAGCCCAGCCCAGGGGACAAAAAGTATCGAAAAAGTAATGTAATGCATTACTTGCATTAAAGGGATAGTTCACCCAAAAATGAAAATTCATCATTTACTCATCCTCAAGTTGCTGGTACCCATCGACTTCCATGGTATTTATTTATTTTTTCATACTTTGGAAGTCTACTGTCAACTGTTTTATGAAATATCTTGAAGCAAGGTGAGGGTGAGTAAATGATGACAGAAGTTTCATTTTGGGGTGATCTATCACTTTAAGTGTTCACACTACAGTTGAATGTGATCTCAATCTGATTGTGAAAAACAAAAATCACATTGAATCACATTTTCAAATGGAGTCTGGGCCATTTTTATTTGTGGAAATCCACTTCTGTGTGATTTGTTTGATTTTTTTATGTCAGTCATTCATCATAATATACTTATAATCATCACATCATTTTGTGTTTGGTTTACTATTTGTGTAAATCATGAAATAATTTATGAATTGCACTGTATTACATAGATATGCAAAAATACACACATACTGTTCAAAAGCATTTGGTCTGTAAGGTTTTTGAAAGTATTCTCTTCTGCTCACCAAGGCTGCATTTATTTGATCAAAAATACAATAAAAATAGAAATATTGTGAAATTTTATTACAATTTAAAATGTCTGTTTTCTATGTGAATATATTTTAAAATGTAATTTATTTCTGTGATTTAAAGCTGAATTTTCAGCATGATTACTCCAGTCTTCAGTGTCACATGATTCTTCAGAAATCACTCTAAAATGCTAATTTACTGCTCAAGAAACATAATTATCATTATCACACTTGTGATGAATCCTTGCTGAATAAAATGAATATTATTAACATACTGATAAAATTATAAATAAAAGTACTGATTACAAAGTATTAAGTCATTTTTAAAAAAATGGACCCCAAGCTTTTGAACGGTAGTCTGTTATCTGTTTAAAATTGATAGAACTTTAAGTTTTTGAAAATTTATTTTAAAAATCAGAATACGAAACTTTGCCAATTTGTAGGCATTCTGCTCTGGTACAAATGTCCTGTATATTCTGTAATGTTTTTATGTCCAGAACTGATATGATCATATTTTATGTATGTTTGTTTTTGTTGATGTTTCTTGTTTTCATGTTTTGTTTCCTTCAAAAAATATTACTGTCTATCCACCACTGACACATTTCCAGACAAGGGCCCATATTTTTACAACTCAGGTAACTTTGCCCTGCTTGCTCCAGCTAGCATGCGATTGGCCAGCAGTGTGATTTTACTCTCCTCTACACTCTCAAAGTGTGATCTCCCCTCACTTCCGCCTCATGCTCTTCAGAAACCCATGCTGTTCCTCACAGCTTGCATGGAGCTGCTGACGCCCATCGCTGCTGCTACATGCCACCAGTCCTCATTGTACAGCTTATCTGCCTATTTAGGCCTGATCTTCACCATTACAATATAAAGAAAAGCAGCCTAGTTAACAGTCCTGAGTCACGCTTTTCCCAGCCTCTCACAAACCTTTCTGTGGTTGGTGTTTGCTGTGTTTCACTGTTTTGATTTCAGACTAAATGATAGTAAACCTCATGCCGCTCTGTTCTGCTCACACTGATCTTGTTTGAAATATTTGAGTCTGAACACAGTGTATCATCGTTGTGATTTTCAACATGTTTTCCAACACACAGTCACGTTAAGAGAGGGCCTTTTCTTCATTATGACTCTCGTGATTTCTTTCTCTGTTTCTCTCTCTCTCAGGGTCACAGAGAATCAGTGACAGCGAGTTCTCTGATTACGACTGTGAAGACGGGATTGGTGTTATCTCAGGTACAGCTAAGTCACCTGCTTTAGCGCCGCACTGTACTTACAAAACTGAAGACTTGAGCCTGCTTGAAAGCATTTTACTCACTCCTTTTCAGTTAAATTCATAATTACATGCATATCAATACATTTATAATATAACTATTAGAAGTATTTGTAACAATCACAAAACATATAGAGTTCTGGTATGAAACTCTAGATGGCGCAGTCCGATAGGTCTAACTCCATTTATTACATAACATAAATGTCACATCTGTTCATATTGCAAATGTATTATTTTAAATGTGATTTTGTTTTGTTTTGTGGTTTTTCATCTAATTTAAAATTAATTGACATTTAAAATACAGTAAAAACACTAATATTATGAAACATGATTTCAATTTAAAATAAACATTTTCTATTGTAATATATTTTAAAATGTAATTGATTTCTGTGATCAAAGCTGAATTTTCAGCATCATTACTTCAGTCTTCAGTGCCACATGATCCTTCAGAAATCATACTAATATGCTGATTATTATTATCTATTCCGTGGTCAAAGAGAAAAGCTTGTATTAAAACTGGCAAGGGGATTCACTGAATGTCTAATATATAGGGTACAACGGGGCTAAATGAGCCTTTGATATTATTTTCATCTAAACCACTAGATGGCAGAAAAACTAGGCGTAGCACTTTCCAAAACATCCGCTTTTCAAGATGCACGTGTATATTTGTCTGATCTTTGACACGATCGCGCGCAGCAGTGCAAAGTTGATTCTGTGCTTACTTGATCTAATATTTTATGTTTTTTAAAATGTTGTAGATTTAAGTAGCAAATGAGAATCGCTCAAATTAATGCATATATTTTGAGACAAGGGTCTTCTTTATGATTTTCAGTTTTGTTTAAGATAATTAAAGCAACCGTTTTTAAATAACGAAAGAATATGTAAAAGTATGGTATTTGGACTTTTTCATTTGTTGACATGGTTAGATTCAGATGGTAAATATCATATATTATGTGGGTGTCCATCTTAGATAATCACCATGTTTGGAATGAAGCCATCATATTTAAAAACATGATATTAATCATATCATAACTTTTTCATTTGTTGACATGGTTAGATTCAGATGGTAAATATCATATATTATGTGGGTGTCCATCTTAGATAATCACCATGTTTGGAATGAAGCCATCATATTTAAAAACATGATATTAATCATATCATATAATAAAATAATTTGTTGTTACTACTGTAAATCTATATAAAATTTTCTATATAAAATCTATATTAAATGTAAGAATCTTTACTTTTTAAAATTATTTTGTTTCTGTATTTTAAAATATGTTTTATATTAACATATTTTAAAGACAGTATATTTATTGAAAATTATTCATTTATTTATCAAAATAAGCAGAAAATAGTACAAACTTTGCTAAAGTGATTGTTTTGAACAAGAATTAACGTCAATTAACATTATTAAACAAAAAAATTATTTGTATCAATACTGTGTGCCTTTTACCCCATGCTGGTGAGCCTTTTACCCCGTGTGTGTGGTAAAATGCCCCCCTTTTAGATTTTTAACCAAAATAAACGACTTGTATGATTTATTTTCACGCAAAATCTGTTGCTCCATAAATGTTCAATACAAAGGTATATATTTTTTCTGCAGTCATACACTTTGGGCGCATACAATTTTTCTTAGGGTGTGCCTTTAGCCCCGTTGTACCCTATATATATACAGTGGGTACGGAAAGTATTCAGACCCCCTTACATTTTTCACTCTTTGTTATATTGCAGCCATTCTCATAAAAAAGGGAAAACTGTTTAGTGAATTCCTTTAAAAAAGCACAGTAATTTTGTGCACTTGCTAGTACGATCTAGTGCGTAATAGTAATGTACACAAATAGTTGCACTTGCACATTTTTAATTCTAACCACTGGAAAAGCACTACATCTGCACTTCTGTGGGATGAACAAGTCTTTATTGCTGCTGGTGTGTGCTGCAACATAAATGATAGTTTTGATAGCTTTGCATATCTGCTAGTTCTCTTTGCCCAAGGTTACTTGATTTCCGCATTTGTGCTTTGCGCGATCTTCACCTGTGCCTTCTTTCAGAGAGGAAGTGCTAAAAAAAAGAGGGTAGAAAAGCTCCGCCCCCTTAACACCCAGAAAACGTCCACTTGCCCCACCCAATTCTAACCACCTCACTCTCGTTTCTGTTCTGACTCATAGTGTGTACCCCCTCTATCGGGAGGACGCGGTCAGGTTACTGCGTTCCACTAGGATGGCCCGTGCATACTCAGACGGGGCTTACAATAGCATGGACAGGTAGTAAACCAGAGCGGTTCACTCTCGATTTCACGATGCTCCATATTTAGTGCTGTGGGTAGTAGTTTGGACTAGAACAGCTAGTGGCGCCTCTCATTATTTTACATCTACAGTATGTAGGGCTGCACGATACCTGGTTAAATGGTTAATCATGAATTTGCTTAAATATAGCCATGGAATACTGGCATTTCATCACAATCATTGCACTTTCATTTAAGCACAAATCAAGAGAATTTCAACTTGCATGCTTTGCTCACGGTTTTTGCTCACTGCAAACAGCACAAGTGACCGTGTGAAAGAAAGCAGAGTTCCTGTATTACAGTTTTATTTGAGCAGAACATCTCAATAGAGATAGCGTAACCCCAGCTTACGTGTTTGCTGGTGTTTCCAGCTCATTAGCGCTTTTTCTGTAATGTAGAGAGAGCACGTGTGCATGGTTGCCAGGTTGGGCAGATTAAGTAAACCACTGGGATGAAAGTGTATGGATTTAAAGGCGACATATCATGAAAATCTGACTTTTCCAGGTTTTAAGTGCTATAATCAGGTCCCCGGTGCATCTACCAACCAAGAAAATGTGAAAAAGATTAACCCAATCACTTTGTTTTGGTAAGCCTTTTTCTGCAAGCGTCTGAGAAAACGAGCGCGTCTGATTTCGCTCCCTTGGTGACGTGGCAAAGGGATCTCATTATAATATTACCACCCCTTAATCTGTAAGTTTCCACCCACGGCGCCATCATTTTGATTTCGCAAGCGACAACAGTGTATTAGCTCTAATACCATGGTGAAAGTTTGAGCAAAACATGCTAACTCTTCTGTCTTTGGCTGCACAGACGAGCACAGAACACTATTTAGAGTCCCAGCCTCAGAGGAGACAAGAGAGCAGAGGATTTATTGATTTATTTACTGTATATTGCTGCCGCCACACAGATCTAAAATAAACATGCGATTTATTTCCCAGCTGTTTACCTTCACAGACATAACCGACTGTTTTTGTAACTCGTGTGTTTTTAACGTAAACTTGCGTGTGAATGAGAACTTAGTTTAGTACTCAAATGCTGTGACCACCGCTTTCTGTCCGTGTGCTTCGGATGTGTGCACTCAGAAAACAGTATATCAGAAGTTTAAACTCATATGGTTTAAAACTCATGATTTCAGCATGATAAACATGATAATCAGAACCAAAACAGATGTTTTTGTAGCAGGTACAAGCTGTAATGGTGCAGCTCTATTCTGGAAAAGGGGGCGGGGAGCAGCAGCTCATTTGCATTTAAAGAGACAGGCCTGAAAAACTGAGTGTTTCTGCTTCCACTCAAAATAGGCATTTTTGAGACTTACATTACATATTGTAAAAAGGGGCATAATATGTCTCCTTTAAGAAAAAAGCTCTGATTGGGGGATTTAAACACTTGAAATCTGGCAACCATGACAATGAAAGCTTGTGGAATCTTGTTACCATGCAAGATGCTGAATTAAAATGAATTGTTTTCAGGTTAATTAACCACCGATGATTATTCTAGGGGGATAGTTTGCCCAAAAAATACGATTTTGACTCACCCTCACTTTGTTCCAAACCTGTATGAATTTATTTCTTCTGTGGAACATAAAAGAGCATATTTTGAAGAATGTGTGTAGTCAAACAGTTGATGGTAGCCATTGACTTTCATATAATTTTTTTTCTAATATGGAAGTCAATGGCTACCATCAACTGTCTGGTTTCTAGCGTTCTTCAGAATACAGTACAATATAAAATCAAATAAACTCATGCATGTTTGGAACAGCTTGAGGATGAGTAAATGATGACAGAAATGTAATTCTTTGGGTGAACTATCCCTTTAAATCAAGAGAGTTGGAAATCGTGATCATGATTAAAATGCAATTCATCGTGCAGCCCTACATTTATGTCACCAGATTTACAAAGTGTAGATTAGAATCCATTTTAGGAAACTTTCCAATGGGTGTAAAAGAAGAAGATATCATCAAATATCATTTTCTTAGAGAAATGTGGTAAAGGTTTGAAAAACGCTTTGGCTGTAGCGTCATTCTTCCACCCATTGAGAAAGCTTTGTGCAAGTCGTTTCGGCTCCTCTCTGGAGCATAGCGTACATGATAGGGTTCAGATTGCAACTTTGCCAACTACGCCACTAAGTACGCCAGCAATATTTCCCAAAGGAAATGTGTGCAATGTGTCCTTAACAGCTCCCACTCCATCCTTCCCGCCGTGGCGTAATGAATTGTATCCTCAGCGCTACTCTCTGGAAGGCTGGAGCTGTTTTGATGACTGAGCACTCGCTAGCGTCACTCTATGACAGAACTGCCAGTCAAAAAACTGCAAGCTACAGTGGATGTTGACCATGCTTATATATAAATGTATGATTTAGAAATGTGGAATTTCATCTATTCAGGATATAGTTGTAGGCTCAGTGGAGACACAGATATTGTCGATCTAGCCAGCTTTGGTTACAGAGGCCCTGAGGTGCAATAGATTCACATATAATTTTTGTATCATTTTCATGTGATATTGATAATGGGTGTGGTCACATAGCAACATTTTGCAGGCAAAAAGGTCCATTGTAAAAAGTGTGGTGATGTATGAGGCACAGCTCAATATATTTTTACATACAACCAAATAATCCATTAGTAATCAGATTAATGCTTCAGTCGGATTGAAAAGCCTTCATGTAAACAGTCAATCCAAATAAAATTTCAATTTAGATTAGAAGGGCCGGTGTAGACTTGAAATGATCAGATTGAAGTTTTATGTCTTATGCAATGAATGCCGTTTTATAAACTTATCAGTGGAGGAGACTGATTATTTTCTAAATATTTGCTAAGAAATAGATCACAGTACAGTAGGTCACTGACACAGTTTGCTAATAGCATAGGTCACAGTATGTGCCATGAAGTTTTGATGCATATGTAAATGAATATGAAAAGTGGATTGTAAAGTTTAGAGTTCATATAATCAGAACTACAATATCTGAAATCTGATTGGGTTCATTCTGATTACTGAAAATTAGTGCATGTGAACATACCTACAGAAGCCACTTTATAAACCAAGAGTGTTTACGTGACCAGCTTAAACACTTTGTGTAGACCATCTGTGTGGGGAAATCTCTCCCCCTCATACAAACATTCCTATAGAAATAGCTTGATTCCTTCAGTGAAAATTTGCCTTCCTGCGGTAAATGTGACTGCACCTTAATATACTTGTGTTGCACTTCCATGATGTAACCATGAACATATCATCTAAAGCAGTTTACATTTCATTCAAAGTTATCTGTATACAGTGGGGCAAAAAAGTATTTAGTCAGCCACCAATTGTGCAAGTTCTCCCACTTAAAAAGATGAGAGAGGCCTGTAATTTTCATCATAGGTATACCTCAACTAGGCGCATGCATTCTCTGGGAATCGAACCCATGACCTTGGCATTGCTAGCACCATGCTTTTGTTTGAACTACAGGTATGCTATAAATCATTGGCGTTTGCTAAATCAACCATCACTGTTAGTATTGCTCATAGTAAGTACAACATTTTGACACATACAATAAGTTATCCCATGCATTTGTTTGCTAAAGGCATGATCGGTTCCTCAAATCATGTAGCTTGTTGACGAGGTATATAATTGGCAGGGAGAAACATCAATAAAACACATAAAAATCCCATAGTCTATATTAATACACCTAAGGGTGAGCTCTTTTGACTTTAACCAGTAGGTATCCTCCTAGAAATGCAAAACCAACATGCTAAAAAGCCATACTGAACCCCTTAGCAACTTTGTTGCAATCACTCACAACAACCCTGCACTGTGGCATTGAGATTTGCATGGGCAGTCTTTTATTTCTTGAGAGATTTCCTGTAGCTCCAACAGCAGAGCATGGCACTAGCAACACCAAGGTCATGGGTTTGATTCCCAGGGAATGCATGAACCAATAAAATGTTTACATTGAATACAATGCAAGTCACTTTGGATAAAAGTGTCTACCAAATGCATAAATGGGTAACACTTTAGTTTAGGGACCAGATTTTACTATTAACTAGTTGCTTATTAGCATGCATATAACTAGCATATTGGCTGTTTATTAGTAGTTATAAATCACATATTAATGCCTTATGTTTTGTACACACCAAAAGCGAATCAAATTATTTGCGCGAGTAGATTACATACAAAGTCAATGCAAAGACGTGAATAGATGCGAATTTGCGCTGGGTGACGTGAATGACGCAAATTGGGATATTCGCCTCAATCACGTCTTCCTTGCACTCGAGCGGAAAATTTGCATCACGCAAGCCAATCAGAGAAAGCTTGTGGACACATCCGGTTTTTATCAGAAAACAGTTTTTATTGTTTTTATGTTTTTATTCGTGTGAGTAACACGAAAAACATCCCAGAAGTAATCTAGAGCGAGTAACGCGATGCAAATATTCACTTCGCTTTTGATGTGCGCACACCATTATTCTGCATGACCATATTTTAGATCCTTTAATCCAACCGCATACATACACTTAATAACTATCTTACTAACTATTAATAAGCAGTAATTAGGAGTATATTGAGGCAAAAGTCAAAGTTAATAGTTAGGTAATAGTGAGATTTGGTCCCCAAACAAAAGTGTGACACGTAAATGTCCCGTTATCTTAATGTCCCATTATCTTGGAAAAATAGCAAGTGATATGTCAAACCATATCATGAGAATGAATGAATGAGGAAATGTGAATCCACAGCACCTTAGGGCTGCGCTGGACTTCATTTTTGGCAGGTCGAATTATGTTTGGCACATAGGATCTGATTGTGTGTTATTTTGTGTTCAGGAGGATGAGGAGAGATAGACAAATGTCTGCCTACAGTGACTCGTATGAATCTCCTGAGAGGTAAAATCCGGATACTTTAGTTGAGACATGCATTCTGTTCATGCATCCATAATAGGACTGCTTTATACTAGTTACAGACTTAACCCTCACACCTTGCCCTGATTCAGCTGTTGCTCGTTCTAATCATACTTTCCTTTCTTCATTCCAATCTATAAATCCTCATCCTCCATTTAAAGATATTACAATGGGCCCAATCATGTATCTACTCCATGGCCCAGTCATGTCATGAATGGAAACGGTGGAGACTACAGGTAAGACTTCTGAAGAGATAAACACCCACAGCACATCACAAACGCTCGCCCTTTCTTTTATCAACTGCCTGGAACAGATGCCACATTTATGTTCCCACTGAGGCTTTGTCTAGTAATGGATGGCAGTAATGGATCTGAGGCTCCAGTTTATTTTATTGATTTACTTTACTGACCTGTTTATACCTTTTTAAGCAAATACATGCTTAATATCATGTACTAAGTGTGACACTAACACACTGAGGTGGTTTATTCAGTAGGACGTGCCCCAGGATAGAAATTGAGCCTTCTACAGATGCAGAAAGGTATAATTACAATAAATGCAGTAGTTTCAGTGCAGACTCAAGTTGGATTTAGATGCTGTAGTTTTCCTGTGACCTTTACATTTTTACAGAAGTGTTTAATGTTCTCGATATTCTTGAAAATGGCGTCTTATATAATAGAAGATATCATAAACGTCACTAGCACTCACAGTAGCATAGCTGAAACGTTTTAGAATCTTAGTACAGTAGCTAGTTTTTAGAATGTAATTATATTTAGTTTTAGTTAGTAACTTTGAACTAGTAACTGAATCTCACTTCCAACAGTACACTATTTTACTATTCACTATTCACTATTTTATCAGTATACCCTTGTGAAAAAGTACTTATTACAAATAATTGTACTTTGCAAAAAATACTTAAGTGTGAACTGAATGCATTGTTTTCAGACACTTAATTGCATGTTAATTGCAATTAAATGAAAACATATTATAGTTAAAATTTTATATTAAATGCAATTAGTTGAGCTTCAGAGTGCTTTTTACCTATTTAAGTAGGACTTAAGTACCTCTTTATATATATATATATATATATATATATATATATATATATATATACAGTGGGTTTTAAGTGGGAGAACTTGCACAATTGGTGGCTGACTAAATACTTTTTTCCCCCACTGTATATGAGATTGAAATATGGTTAAAGTATAACTACAAAAATGTAATGTCACTATTAAAACTTGTTTGTCTTTTATTTAAATATATTTGTAATTAGATAGAGGTGCAATTTATTACATTTAAAACATGAGAAAAGATTATTAAAACAATCATTTTAAAGTAAAACTTCTATTTTGACATTATTACAAAGTGCACTTTTTAAAAGTCTACTTAAGTGTGTTAAGAATCATAGTCACGGACAGTGTTGGGGTAAGGCGAGTTACTAATCAGATTACTTTTTTCTACTTGTTAGTAACATTTTACTTTTAAATTTACAACAAAATATCTGAGTTACCTTTACAAATAAGTAACGTAAGTTTTTTATGGAGTATCGCAATATTGTAATGCATTATTTTTAAATGTAACTTTCCCCAGCACTGGTCATGAATGTGTCTCTATTTAAGTACACTTAAGTGGCCTTTCATTTCATTAATATTATATTATCTGCAAGTAGTTTTTAGAAGTATACCTTTAAGACTTGAGGTACACAACAAGTGCACATGCAATACTTTTTCACAAGGGTAAATTGTATAATAAGGCTGTTTAGCAACTACTGACAGTAATAAGAGCTTCTAAATTAGCATTTTTGTTCTTCTCTAACGCACATCCATAGAGAGGACAATATCCCAGAGTTCCCAGCTAACCATGAACACTATGAGGAAGATCTGAGGTAATACAGCAGAATTTGTGCAAGCACTCCCATAGATAGAGTATATAGGAGTAGAGTAGACTGTAGTCACGGGGCTTATAGTTGTGTTAGTATGAAATGTGTTGACTTGTTTTCTTTGCAGCAGCTTCCAGAAGCTTCTGTTTGTTTGTTTGTTTCATGTCAATTTGTTGGTTTACACTTATTTTTGGTTGTTTCAGTTTGGTAAATCTCCCTTCCCTGAGCAGCCAATGCTGAAACTCAAATCCACTTTTGTTTGGTGTGCTAATTATTAGCCAAGCGACGACATTTCACAGCTGAGACACCCTGTGATCCCATGATGCACTGGGGCTCGGCTGAGCGTGGCTTTTTGACTAACGTTCTGCAGGTATAGCCGCAGCATGGTGGACAGACATGAGCATTACAGGTCCAGGTCAGCTGACCAGCGGCCCATGATGGAGCGACCGGTCTACACACGCTCCCGCTCGTCCGAGCGGCCCGACTCCGGCTACATGAGATCCATGCCGTCTTTACCGTCAGGGAGATCCGCCCCTCCCTCTCCTGCCTTAACGAGGTGACCCGACCCATCACAACAAGCACTAAAGCGCTAAACGAACCCATGCCTTCTGCTTCCTGTCACCTGGAATGCCCCTCTCTCCACTTCCTCTTATTTTAACCCTGTGTAACAATGCTGTTTATGATTTTACCTTCATTTGTAGAGTAGAGAGTAGTGATGATGGTTACTACTAATGTCTTTTCATTTGGATTATAGACACACCTGTTATATCCTCTTGAGATATAATGGTGTGTACCTGGCATCGTTTTGTTTTGACTTATTTTTTTGTGTGTGTTACTAACATTCTTTATTTGTTTGTTTAACAGTTTACGCTTTGAGTTATGGGCTGTTATGCGTGCCGTGTGCTCATGCATTCAGGCCTTTTCACTTTCCTTGCAGCTTTAGCCACCACAAGCACCTCTCCTGATGCTGATTCCATCACACCTTTTGAGACGCCATAACACCTTTTGACTTACGATTTGCCCCGCACGTCATAAGTCACTAGGAAATGACATGAATGTGTCAGATTTGCGCATGAACTGTCACTGATGCGGTAGCTTTTGGATGTGCCACAGTTGATTTAGAGACATGAGCCACATGTACTGAAAGCTGATGTGACACTGAGCTCAAAAGGTGCTTTAAATATCATTGTGTTTACTGTGGAGTTGATGTGCATTTTACACGGATGTATTTGTATGTTTACGTGGCTAAAATGCACATGACCGTGACATATTTATTAAATGCATGCTCTTTTTATAGTCAGATATTTTTTTCTGACAAAATAATGCTGTCAAGAACATGCTAGGTCATATTTTATTCACAAAAAAAATAAATACATTTGTATTACTGTAATTCGTGGAAAAGTTCATTTATTTCAGTAATTCAACTCAAATTAAGTTGATCAACTTAAATCAACCCAGGGACTGCAGATGCAAATTAGCTTTATAGCTAACTCTGGCACAACACTGTTGTTGTGCGTTGTCCCTGTACAAATACATTGGTATACACAGGTTTGGGATCAGTAAGATTTTTTATGTTTTTTAAAGACGTTTCTTATGCACATCAAGGCTGTATTTATTTGATCAAAAATACAGAAAACTAAATTTAAAATAATAGTTTTCTATTTTAATATACTTTAAAATATTATTTATTCCTGTGAAGCATAGCTGAATTTTCAGCATCATTACTCCAGTCTTCAGTGTCACATGATCCTTCAGAAATCATTCTAATATCTTGATTTATAATCAATGTTGGAAACACTTGTGCTGCTTAATATTTTTGGGACCTGTGATACATTTTAAATAAAATGTTAAAAAGAACAGTGTTTATTCAAAATAGAAATGTTTTGTTACAATATAAATTAAAATAGGAAATCAATATTAGAAATTGCAATAATATTTCACAATATCACTGTTTTTACTGTATTTTTGATCAAATAAATACAGCCTTTAGAGACTAAAAAAACATTAAAAACCTTACAGATCACAAACGTTTGAATGGCAGTGTATATAAAGGCTAAAATAGGCTTTGCTGATGATATGAAAAAAATTATAATTTCTAATTTATCTTTTGATATTGGAGTGAAATATGACTTGAGATTCACCTAGAGTCTTATCTGGGTTGCTGTACAGCTTGTGCTGATGTACCTCTACAGGACATATTTTACCAAATGTTTTTACTTCCCCCAAAAGTTTCTTACTAACCCCAGAAAAAAACTGTGCCAAATATTGACTTGCTTTGTTTAATAGTACAAAGTATGTGTCCCTTTTTATAGCATTCGAGTGGAATGTGTTTTCTGACACTATTGTCTCATTAAATGATGCCACTCCCAATATAACCATAGTTAGTAGTTGTGTTTGCGTTAAGTGTCCTCTCACCAGCGTGTTCTGCATTAGTCTAACAGTGTTTTGGCCAGGTTTATGACTCGACCACCAACACTTCTTTAGATAAAATGCTTTATGTTCATTCCTGACACGCCATCTGTCCCTCAGGGCAAACATCCGCACCGGATCGGTCCAAACAAGTCCCACCAGCACGCCAGTATCGAGTCGGAGAGGTCGGCAGCTACCGCAAGTCCCACCGAAGGGCACTGTGGACAGAAGTGAGTAGATCAACTAGGCTTCTACCAAATTGCAGGGTTTGTGGCGCTTGAGTGGAAAACTTGTATAATTGGACAGGTTTAGAGTCACAAGATGCGTTTATGTGTAACCTTTCCATTGGGTAACTGACAGAAGTTCAACGAACAACTACTATTGCACAATAGTTATCACAAAAAAATGGCTTATGCATAAACAACCAGTCAAGTAAAGAATATTGTGTAACAATAGAATAATAGTATTCTCCTTTACATAACACAGCATGGATTGTTTTTTTCCCCAGAAGATGGCGAGGGCATTACCGAGCCTTATGAAGGTCTGTAAGCACTAGCTTCTGTGTGTTTAGCCTCGTCTCCGTCTTCTTTATTACAGCTTTATCATATCCTCTGTTTGATTCAAACTGTGAGCTTTACCTGTCATTGGTCTAGCTTCCACCGTTCGTTTAGTGGAGTGAACAGATGTTTTAATTTGTGCTTCAGCCATGTTAGCGCAATCAGCAGAGCTGTACGTGTATCATTATAGATGTATGCTGTGTAGTCTATGTACTTCGTCTGTGTCTGGATCAATGTCCAAATGTGCTACAGTGGATATCAAAAGTACCCAAGGCTGTTTTTGCCATGAAATAAAATAGGTAGTTTGTAACTTTATCTTACAATTCTGACTTTATTTCATGATTTGGAATTGTGAGAAATGAAGTCAGAATAGTGTTCCAGACTTTCAATTCTGGGAGAAAAGTCCAAATTGCGATATGTTAACTCAATATTATGAGATATAAATAGATAAATCATCGCAATTAGCTTTTTTGTGTCTTTATTCTATAGCATAAACAGGCTTCCATACAAATCAGTGTGCCCTTATTGAAATTTGTTGAGGTAAAAGCAATTTATGTCAGACTTTTAATGTTAGTAGCATCCTCTGGCAGCATTTAAGTTGCAGAATAGCCAGGCTAAGTTCTGGTATGTTTATAGCAGCGGCTCTCCAACCTAATCATTGGCATAAGAGCAATGTTGAGAGACGAATATATATTTATATTGTGTTTTAGAAATGGCAGGCTACTTCTAGCAGTGATCCTCTCAGTCACAGAGTGATAGTCACGGTTTATTAGTCACCTAGTGATGTTTTGGTTTGTTTTCTCTTTTGATTGGCACAACTCATCAACCAATGAAGCAGGAACAGGGGCGGTACCTCAGCCTCCTGCTCCGCCCCCTGTTCTGTCCCAGCTTCCACAGACTCTGGCTGGTAACTTATATTTAGGACACATAGGATGCTTATCGTCAGTCAAATGCAAATATGATCTTGATATTCTGCCATTTACATCAAAGTTTGTTGATAGACTATGAATAGTACATTTCAGTGGGTCTCTACACTTTTATATTATTGAATTATTCAGTTTGCTAAATTATATTTGCATTTGAGGTTGCTGTAGCATACAGTAGTTAGTATGTTTAGTGACCAAGTGGAGTAAATTAGCATAGAACATTATTTTAGCTTTTCTTTTCACATTTTAGTTCTTCTCATCTCCATGTCTGATGGCATACTTCTGTTTGTCTTTCCTTCTCTCATTTCTGTCTGAATGTTGAAGCGGTGGGAGGGGCTTCACAACCCCCGGCCCCACCCCCTCCACCTCCACAAGGCACACATGCAATGGCTGGTAATACATAGCAAAGATAGCCATTTGATCAAATAATAAGAATAAACAAATAGTAATAATAATAAAAACTTTAGAAGAAATTAAAAAAATAACAATACAGTGGCACAAACTGCCTTGTTGTGTGTGTGTGTGTGTGTGTGTGTGTGTGTGTGTCATATATTTATTGGTGTTGCGCCAAAATAAAAAAATGCTGATTGAAAATTAGACTTTGTTTGAAGTAACGGTATTCTATAAAATATTATATTTTTCCTGCCACTATATAAGTTACTATATAACCTGTTATATGCAAGTATACTGTATATACTACTGTTCAAAATTTGTGGTTAGTAAGGTTTTTTTTTTCTATTCAGCAAGGTTGCATTAAATTGATCAAAAGTAACAGTAAAAACTTTTACATTTCTACAAAAGATTTCTATGCAATAATAAGAAATGTATCTGTATTTTTGATCAAATAAATTGCAGCCTTGGTGATAAAACCAATAATATATATATAATAAATTCCCAAACTTTTGAACAATAGTTTACATATTACACAAGCTCAGAGTTGGAAAAAAAAACTATTTTACCAAATAATAAAGCTAATAAAAATATTCTGGGAAATTGCATTATTATAAATTATGAAAATAGTAAATATTATATCACAAGAAAATATGATAAACTATAATTAACTATAGTAAATAAGTTAAAGTGGATAATTTCATGTGGACACTGCTTTTTTTCTCATGTCAAAGTTTCGGTTAACAAATATCTGTTATAGTAGCCTGTAACTATTTTAAGGCTTATGATCTTTCTTTTTTTTTTCTTGGTGCATCAATACATTTTATAAATATTAATCCATGTGATCCTCTCGTTAATTTTCTTGTGTTTCTTTTTGTCTTTTTGTCCACAACTCTGTCTCTGCCAATCCTGTTGTCTTCATTGTCATCATCAAAGCTCATATGGGGATGGAGTCTCCTGTCCCGGGCCCTGCTGCCACCCATGCCCCCTTACTGCCTCCTACACATGCTCCTCCCCCTCCTGCACACGCCCATCCACCTTCTTCAGTTGCCACTCCCCCACCCACACATGCTCCTCCCCCTCCAGCTCCTGCTCCCGCCCCTCCTCCTCCTCCTGCTGCTGCTCCATCATCATCCTCACCGCTCGTCTCGCAGGCTTCTGAGCCAGGTGTGTGTCCAGCTATGTTCGGAATGGAATACTAGTGTACTACTTACTGTACATGCATTAAGCAGTACAATAGTATTTATAAGGCCCTAAGTGTATACTGTGTGGTATACACAGTATACACTTAGGGCCTTATAAATACTAGTGTACTGCTTAATGCGTACTGCACTGTATACACTTAGAGCCTTACAAATACTAGTCTACAGCTTAATACGTACTGCACTGTATACACTTAGGGCCTTACAAATACTAGTGTACTGCTTAATGTGTACTGCACTGTATACACTTAGAGCCTTACAAATACTAGTCTACAGCTTAATACGTACTGCACTGTATACACTTAGGGCCTTACAAATACTAGTGTACTGCTTAATGTGTACTGCACTGTATACACTTAGAGCCTTACAAATACTAGTCTACAGCTTAATACGTACTGCACTGTATACACTTAGGGCCTTACAAATACTAGTGTACTGCTTAATGTGTACTGCACTGTATACACTTAGAGCCTTACAAATACTAGTCTACAGCTTAATACGTACTGCACTGTATACACTTAGGGCCTTACAAATACTAGTGTACTGCTTAATGTGTACTGCACTGTATACACTTAGAGCCTTACAAATACTAGTCTACAGCTTAATACGTACTGCACTGTATACACTTAGGGCCTTACAAATACTAGTGTACTGCTTAATGTGTACTGCACTGTATACACTTAGAGCCTTACAAATACTAGTGTACTGCTTAATGCGTACTGCACTGTATACACTTAGGGCCTTACAAATACTAGTATACTGATTAATGCGTACACACTTAGGGTCTTATAAATACTAGCGTACTGCTCAATGCATACTACACGGTATACACTTAGGGCCTTACAAATACTAGTGTACTGCTTAATGCGTACTGCACTGTATGCACTTAGAGCCTTACAAATACTAGTCTACAGCTTAATACGTACTGCACTGTATACACTTAGGGCCTTACAAATACTAGTGTACTGCTTAATGTGTACTGCACTGTATACACTTAGGGCCTTACAAATACTAGTATACTGATTAATGCGTACACACTTAGGGTCTTATAAATACTAGCGTACTGCTCAATGCATACTACACGGTATGCACTTAGAGCCTTATAAATACTAGTGTACTGCTTAATGCATACTACACGTTATGCACTTAGGGTCTTATAAATACTAGTGTACTGCATACTGCACAGTATACACTTATTTTTTCTTAATTATTTTAATGGTTTACTTAAATATGAATAATCAAGAAGTGTTAATCAGTTGAATTCATAAAACTTCGAATTCACAAAATTCATAAAGCTGCAGTCCGTAATTTTTCTGTGTTCAAAATGTACAAAATTTATATAATAAGCGAGTACATCATGAATCCATTTTCCAAACCGTGTTTTTGGTTTGTCCTGAATCACTACAGTACACCTGTAAGTAGTTTTTATATTCGGATTTATATTTTATATTTCAGACTGGTTCTGGTGGAACCGCTGCGGAGTAGCCTGCGTGATTCTTCATAGACATAAACAGAGAGACGTAGCTCCAGTCGCAATGTTCTTCCGCAAGACGCATGCAGTTCTGTTCATTAACCGCTAGAGCGCCAAAAGATACGGACTGCAGCTTTAAAAATGTAACAGTAATAGTGCCCAATGAAATGTTGTTGTTTTTTTTCTATAAATTGCATTTCAATTTTTTAAATGGTTTCATTTTTCTTTTTTCTTTTATTTGTCAAAAACTGTGGTAATCAGTTGAATTCATAAATGCGTAATGCGTGCTTCAGTATGTATATTAGACAGAGACAAGCAGAACATGCACACTTCATATTCAAATGACAGTCTTTTGCTGTTTAATATTCACAGATTTTAGTCCAAATCGTGATTTCAACTGTACAGCCCTACTTTTGTTTTATTAATCCAAACTTTGCTGTGACATTCTGCATTATACAGTAAATTCCATTATATATTATAGATTCTGTATTCATTTTCTGCATTGCAGAAATCATAGGGCCCTATGCACTGTATACTGCTTGCGATTATTTCAATAACACAGTCAGTAGCATGCTAGTAACTGCACACTGCACAAAAACAGTGGAGTAGTATGCTGTTCTGAACATTGTCTGAGTGCCTGTTTCTTTACATCATTTATTTAGCATACAGCAATATTTATTTATTTTACTTTATTTTAATAGTGTTGGTAACTTCTCTTGAGCGTGAGCATGTGTGTGTGTTTTAACTTGGTTAGAGTGTTCCTGTGTGTTTGTGGGACACACTGATCATTCGACTCACCCTCTGTTTATGTGTGTGCCGTTTCCCACACAAGAATCCCAGGAAAAGCCTGCAGCTCCCTCAGCTGTCAATGGGAGGAAAGGCAAGTGTGTGTGAGCGTGTGAATCTCTCTGTGGTGTTTTATTGTGTGTTTGTGCTGGATAGATTTAGTACAAGTAGATGTTGTAAACATTTGCAGTACTTACTGTTTATACGGGTGTCATCAGGTATATAGTATGCTATGATTGTGTTGGTGATGCCATTAAAAACCTATTTTGTTATTGAAAATGTTTAGAAATTCTGGTTTCACACCACGCTGCGCTATTGTTCTAGTTATGTGGGATTTAATATTAATTTAAGAATAAGAATAATTGGTTATTATTATGTTTTTTAAGCCACTGTACTCATGTGTAAACTGAATACCTTCAATCACATGTAGATGGCTCAATAGCACTCCTTAAAAAAACAGACCTAAAACATCAGCTTCACTTTCATAGTTAGAACTAAAGCTATGTTTTTTAGTATTTTTATATAAAATATATACAAAATAAATCAATTATATAAATTACTACTAATAAATTACTAAAATAAAATTTTTGTTTCCTGTTCTTTTTTAATTAATTAATGCAAGTGAAATAATATATATATATATATATATTTCGTTTTTAGAGAAAAAATAACTTTTTAACACTATAAGGGTAAATTGTGGAAAATTGTAAATTGGACATGCTTAAATGTGCCTTATACAGTATGTGCGCGCTGCAGGCCTGTACTACGCACATCTAATTAACAGTTTTGTTAAGCAGGAGCATTGATTTGTTTCTGCTTGTGTTGTAACTTCAGAGGTGACATGGGAGGACCAGCAGAAGAAAGCTCTTGGTATGGCACAACCTGTGCTCTTCATCGGCCCTTAGTAGAGTAGATCAATTCTAGTGTGCTTCTGAGGGATCTAGATTTCTGCTCTCGCTGCTCTTGTTGCTGCTGGCTAAGACTGAACCTTCTGAAGGTTCAAGTAGAGTCATCAAATTGAACTGCTAATTTTTCACTATAGCAACTTGAGGTAGACAGACGTAAGGCCACATTCCTAGTCATTTACATGATGAATTAATTAACACACTTTTATTGATTCTGAGACGAACAGTTCTCACTGATGCCTTATGATACACAAACATGTACGTTTTCGTTTCTGGAATTATTATTACTTACAATTGAAGTAAATATGAAAAGCAGAGCAATAGAATAAACTACATGAATCATTACATTTACAGCACTAAAATGGGAAAAGTGGAGGCTTGTGGGATTTTGGAAAGCTACTGAACTGATAATGGCCTTTTTGTTGTAAATGTCATTTTATAAGATTTTGCTTTTCAAATGAAACTTGAAATGAGAGCCGAATTGAGACGATAGCATGTGAGTGATTATAAATGCTTTGTAAATTGTAGCATTGCTTGTAGTATGTAGTGGGGAAAATAGGCTACCGATGGTGGTCTGTCTGTAGTGTGTGTTTGAGATTTCTGTATTTCATTAACCTTTGCTCAAAGTATGCATCAGTTCTTTGTTTTGATGCTTTACGTCTTTTAAAGGGTTGTTTTTTTGGTGTTGGATTTCTCAGATCTGTTTTACATTTGTTTCGGCATGTTAGGAGTGATGAGTTTCTGAATGAAATCCATCTAAACTCTGTTTGTGTGTGAGAGTGTGTGTCCATCATCACATTGTGTGTCTGTCTAAACTGTTTTGTTTTCCTCTCATCCACACATCAGCTGTAGTGTCAGAGTCAACAGTGTCAGAGAATGGAGATGCAGGTATTGTATACAGATTGAGTTTGTGTGGCACCAACATAAAGCCCTCCAAAACAACCTTTGGAGACGTGTGTGTGTGTGTGTGCGTGCGTGCGTGTGTGTGTGTGTGTGTGTGTGTGTGTGTGTGTATGCTGGAATAAGCAGTGTATATGATTGCGTAGAATTGCTAAAAGAGTTTAAAACATCGCTTAAAACAACTACACAAAAGTTCAAGAGTTTGAGGTCAGTTTCTTTAAAAGAAATGCATACTTTTATTCAGCAAGGATGCATTAAATTGATCAAGAGTGACAGTAAATACTTGCACACTGTTATAAACTACTTCTGTTTTATTTAAATACTGTTCTTTTGAACTTTCCATTCATCAAACAATCCTGAAAAATAGAAAACAATTGTTTTAAATTGCAATAATATTTCACAATATTACTGTATTTTTACTACAGTAAAACCAGTGGTGAGACTTTAAAAAAAAACAAAAAACATTTGAACTTTCTGGCCTCAAACTTTTGAACGGTCTTGTATAAAGAGTTTATTTAAAGTGTGCAAGTTTTAACTTGCAAAAAGTGTACTTCAAAAGAGAAACTACACACACAAAAAGTGTACTACAACAGCTTATCACTGGGGCAGTTCCTTCAAAAAGACATCTTCTTAACCACTAAAGGGTGCATAATAGTACCATTAGAGTGCACATTATCACCTTAAGGGTACATTACTAATATAAAGTGCTAATATGCACCCTTTAAGCCCAAAGAATACTTAGGTTTTTACGTACACGCAAGGGTCTGTGTACAGTGCATGTAACGCAAATTTAGGCCCAAGTATTTCAAAATATAGTCCATTTCAGGTGTACTTCAGCTTCATCTTTGTCCAGTGTCTGCGCTATTTTTCTCCAGAGGTTATGACCATTAAAAACGTCTTTATACTATTTTAGCTTAAAGTTGTGTCTATCCCATAACCCCCTCACACAAGCGCTTGTCAATGGGGGTGTAGTTGTTGCAGTCTCCGCTGTTTTGATGTTGTTCCATCTCTTTAGTTTCGTTTTGTACTATGAAACAACAGCTCGAGCCAGTGCTGCCACCTTGTGGAACAACTGATTAGTGCAAAACAAACTCAATGCGCATGTGCGAACTGTGCGTACAAAGTATGTGCGGTTACAAAAATCAGATGCTGTGCGTACAGTACACACATACTATTCTGGTGATGAAATTTGCGTCACGCGCACTGTACGCAGACCCTTGCATACTCGTAAAAACAAAGTATACTTTGCCATTTTTTTGACCAGAATGGTACACGCACCACCCGATTTACTTTGTATGCGCAGTTTGCACATGCACATTGAGTGTGTTTTGCACTACTCAGTTGTTCCACAAGCACTGGCCCGGGCTGCTGTTTCACAGTAGAAAATGAAACTAAAGAGATGGAACAGCAACAATATTACGGAGACTGCAACAACAACAGAAAGACTCATTGACAAGCGCTCTGAGAGGGGGTTATGAGACAGACGCAACTTTATTTTAAAACAGTACAACAACATTTTCATCAGTCATAACTTCTGGAGAAAAATAGCACAGGCGCTGGACAAAGACGAAGCTTTCTAGAGCGTATGTGTCGACTGCCTGAGTTCGTGCACACTATCAAGTGGAGTACACTTTGAAAGGCTACACATTTGACTGTACGCATACGCTAGCGTACACATACAAAAACAACGTATACTTTGGGCTATAGGAGTAAAGACGGTTGTCCCTTTGTTGTGCCTTTGAGGTTACTGGCCCAGTGACAGTGTTGCCAAGTTCAGGGTTTTCCCGCAGAATTGGGCTACTTTTACACTGTTGCAGCGGGTTGAAGCGACCCCAATAACACAATATTTAGCCACTGAAATGCGAATTTTACTGGGGAACCCCACCAAAAAAAACGTGTATTTTAGCAATGCAATTTTTAATGGTTGACCCCCCCTCGAAATGCAATTGGGCTAGTTTTGAGTAGCAATTGGGCGGGTTTTGTTGTGATGTTACACTGTGCGAAAGATTAGCAATTTGTGCAAACATTTTTAATAAACTGATGTTTTGGTCATATCTAGTGGATGTTTGAAGTCAGTTTATCTCAAGTTCACACTGGTGTTCAATCAGTGTGTAGAGAATCATATTAACACAATTCACTAACATTTGACTACATTTGACCATTGCTTTTCATTTTAAATGGTTTATCCATTGTTTTAAAGTCTGTAATTTACAACCTATGTTACACTACCATTCAAAAGCTTGAGGTGAGTAAGATTCAGTAATTAATAAACGAAAGTTAATTAATACACTGTAAAAAAAATTCCGTAAAATTTACGGTAAAAAAACGGCAGCTGTGGTTACCGGAATTTTACCGTAAATACTGTAGCATTTTTACAGTCTTTTACCGTTAAATTCACGGTCATTTTTTACAGTGTACTTTTATCCAGCAAGGATGCATTAAATTGATCAAAAATAACAGTGAAGACATTTATAATGTTGCAAAATACTTGTATTTATATAAATGCAGTTTTTTTAACTTTCTTTTCATCAAAAATCCTGAACAAAAATGATAATTTATACAAATAATTTCAACATGATGATAATAATCATGTTTCCTGAGCAGCAAATCAGCATATTATAATATTTTCTGAAGGATCATGTGACACTGAAGACTGGAGTAATGCTGCTGAAAATTCAGCTTTGATCACAGGAATAAATTACAGTTTACAATATATTACAATAGAAAGCAGTTATTTTAAACTGTAATAATATTTTACAATATTACTGTTTTTATTTGATAAAAAAAATGCACCCTTGGTGAGATTAAGAGACTTCTTTTCAAAAACAAATCAAAAAATCTTACCGACCCCAAACTTTTAAAAGTTTGTGTTTTTGTTTTTTTTCAGTATCCAAGTACTTTTTGTGGCCACATCATGTTAAATGAGTTTTGGACCGATGAGATTTTGCAGTGGGCGGAGCTTCTCAGTGCAGCACGACACAAATAAAACCCAAGCGACCACCAAAACGGCTTATCGTGCAGTGTTTGGTTGCAGTTAGTGAGAACAAAAACTCTTTAGATTAGCATTAAGGATTTACTGTTTGTTGCTTTGTCATGTTGTGCCTGCTTAGGTCCTCACACAAGCTGTTTCTCATGGTTACATAAAGCGTCAAGTATCTGTCAAACCTGTGTTCCTGATACACTGCTGAAATATAGAATCCGTGTAGAGTTTACTATAAGAGAAGATGAGCGCTGTGAATCCTGTCGTTATATAACAGCTGATCTCCTTCCTGTCCTCTGTTCTCTTTTGATTAATTGTATAAGTTATATAAAATCTGGTTTTTGACAGCTGAGAGCGGTGTGTGTTCTGGAATATGGCATCTTTTGTGACTTTTCTAAACCTTTTAATTATTGGTTCTGTTTTAAAACATATGAGCTGACTACCTAGGCTACATTTAACACACTTTACACTGGAAATAAGGACTAGGAATCAATTGTGAGATTGATGCAGTTCCTGTTTAGAAGGCAGTTTGTGCAGCATTATTTTAATGTAATAATCAGCATGTTTTTCCCCCCCTCACAGCGTGGGATGGACAGTCTCTCCATGAGGTCGTCGGACAGTGATGTAAGCGACGTGTCCGCTATGTCGAGCGCATCTCGGCTTAGCAGCACGAGCTACATGTCTGTCCAGTCAGAAAGGGTGCGAGCGAGCCGCAGGATCAGGTAAGTGCACAGTAAACCCTCTTACCCTGATAGCTGTGGATGTGTCTGCAGTCAGGAACACACTTACTGTGCTTCTGGTGAGTTCAGGTTGGGCTCTGTCTGCTTGTGAAGTGATCCGAGCCTCTGAACTTGCCAAGAGTGTGTTTACCAATGACTGAGACCACATCACATGGTTTTGAGCAAACTTGTGTAGGTGAATCTCAAGAAGAAATGTCCAACTCATATTTACCTTCAAAACAAAAGGGAAACAAATATCAGTTCTCAATTACATATCAATAATTTTTACTGTAATGCAATTCATATAGTTTGGTAAGGCAAGATTTATTAATGGTTTGAAAGAACTCACTTATGCTCATGAAAGCTGCATTTATTTGTTACAGTAAATACAATAGTATTTTGAAATATTATTGCAATTTATGTTCTATTGTAATATATTTTAAAATGTAAATTATTCCTGTGAGTTTTTAGCATCATTACTCCAGTCCTCGGTGTCACATGATCCTTCAGAAATCGTTCTAGTATGCTGATTTGCTTCAGTGTTGAAAACCGTTTCATATTTTTTGTGGAAGCTGTGATTTTTTCAGAATTCTTTGATGAATAGGTTCAAAAGAACAGCATTTATTTGAAATAGAATTTCTGTAAGAATTTAAAAAAAAAAAACGTGATGGTCTCTTTTGATTAATGTAATACATCCTTGCTGAATAAAAGTATTAATTTCTTTAAAAATAATTCATTGATTTTCATTATTACATTGTATTATTAAATATTTTCATATCGCACAAACGAGAATGATCATTTTGAGGAGAAAAGCTTACCTTTCATGAATGTTGCAATGCAAAAAGTGTTTATAGCCTAAAATGTATTTTTGAAATATGGATTGGACGTTTTTCGCTAGTTATAAAAGATTCACCTATTAACAGAAGGACTGAAACTCTCAAGAGAATCTCACAGTATATGACAGCATCGCTCTTGTTCACAAAGAGAGTTCATTTTTCACATTTTCATACTGTTATTTTGCTCAAGGTTTCTTTTCTTTTCTTCATCTCATGTCTGCTAGGCTTATATCTGTCTTTTCTGTGTCTTTTCTGTCTTGCATGCTTCCTTTCATGGTGTTGTGGCATGGTTTATGTGTGTGTGTGTGTGTGTGTGTGTGTCAGCCGTGCGGAGGCTCTTCAGAGTCATGGAGAGGAGAGCGCTGTCTCTGTGGAAGAGCAGGTGGAAGCCACTACAGCGAGTGCACAGGGGGCGGGGCATGATGGGGAGGTGGGTGGGGCTACTGTCAACCCAGAGCAAGAGGAAGAAGAGGAGGAACCTGAGAGGTTAGATGCAAAGCATCTCATAAACCCAGCTAGTGTCCTCCAGCTAGCATCCTTCAGCTAATGTCCTCTAACTTAGTGTCCTCCAGCTAGCATCCTTCAGCTAATGTCCTCTAACTTAGTGTCCTCCAGCTAGTGCGATCATGCCTCTAAATATCTGATGTATTCCCATGTAAATCTCATGAAATAAGAGTTTAGGAATGAGGAGAGCTAGGAAATAGTTTTATTTACATAGTATGCGTTCTTGTGTGCATGTCAAGTTGTTAGCACACTGAAAAAAAAAAAGGTTTTTTTGGACAAACGAAACAGAAATACAAAAACGTTACAGGCAAATGTAATCGTTTTTGTCAAGTTATATTTAAGGTTTGATTGAAACCTTAAATTTTGATTTAATATGAATGTGGAAAAAATATGAATTATTATTATAAATATTATTAAATATATATATTTATTTTACAAACATATTCATACAAAGTAAAAAAGATTAGGTAACACTTTATTTCGATAGTCCACTTTAGACATTCTATTAACAGTAAGTAACTTTGCAACTACATGTCAACTAGCAGTTAGTAGAGTATTAGTAGACTGTCTGCTTAATATCTTCTAACACTTTCTTTGTCAACTTATTCTACTAACCCTAAACCTACCCTAACAGTCTACTCTGAGAGTTAGTAGACATGTAGTTGCAAATTAATGAGAATTAGTTGACATGTAGTTGACATGTAGTTACAAAGTTACTTAAAGTTATTAGAATGTCTAAAGGGGACTATCGAAATAAAGTGTAACCCAGTATAATAATTAGAGCCCGACCGATATGGGTTTTTGGGGGCCGATACGATATTAAGGAGTAAAAAAAAAGTCTGATATCGATATATCAGCCGATATCCTTTATGGTACAGTACCAGTCAAATTTTGAACACACTTCCCATTCGTGTGTCCAAACTTTTGACTGGTACTGAATATAGAATACAGTATATACATAAACGGAATATATAAACACATTTTTTTGCAGTGATCACTCAAATGTGACAAAGATATGTAATCGAGGCAGAGTATTTAACAATTTAACAATAAACTTTATTTTTTAACATTTCTATGAAATGTTTATTTTATTTTTTCTCACAAATTCTGTGTTGTGTATTTTCTGGTAATCAAATGAACACGCAGAACGTGAGGATTTGTATTTAAATAGTCTTTTTGCAGTTTAATATTCACAGACACTAGTCTACATCGCGATTTGATTTAAGTGTACTGACCTGTTCTTTTATTCATTCATCAAAAATAAGACAAATTCCGTGAAATTCCACGTTATACAGTCAATTCCGTTTTTATGAATGGATTCCGCGATTCCGTCTGCGTTTTCTGCATCGCGGAAATCAGGGCCCTACTAATGTAGCAAATGAGGGAAAAGTGAAAAAGTTGGCTTGTCGGCAGTAGCAAACTATGGAGCACGTCCTGCTGGACAAACTAAGTAATTACACCATTTCAAGCATTTTATCTTCATTATATGTCCTGTAAAAAATGTTGGTGGCAGATCTGCGGCATATTCGCCAATGCCAATATATCTGCTACAGGCTCATATCGGACAATAAAATTGGCAAAACTATAAATAGGTCAGGATCTAATAATAATATATTTTGGCTTTATACAGATTAATTTCACCATAAACAAAAGCTAAATAAGCTATAATGAATGAAAGAAAAAATCTCACTTGCTATAAAGACAACTTCGAAAGATCTTAATGTTTATTATAATGTCGTTTTTAATTATGCATCATATTTTCTGATATGTACTTAAAAAAACACAGGAAAAATTTATAAAAAATGTAAATAAGTTCAATGCAGTCAGTAAAGCTAGCCGGCATGTTTAATGTCAATTAAGCAAAAATACGAAAAAATAAATACATACATAAATGAAATAAAAATAATAAATGCATTTGTACTTGTATTACATTTCATGTTTATTTTTATGTTTTTATTTTTATTTCATTAATTAATGAATTTCAATTCTATGGGAAGCATTGTTTGCTTTTAGACAACAAAATCAAAAACAGGTTTAAACCAGAAAGCATAATTCTCGATTAGACCAAAATCAAAATGCACTTTAAAAAAGAAATGACACTGTCATTTCACTCTTCTCACTGTCCTGTAATCCAGTTGTGTGTTTGTTAGTTGTGGATGACACCTCTCTCCACTGCCATACAATTCAACATACTGTCCCAAAAGAGCTTGTGTCTTACATAACATCACAGTCATCTCAGTGACCCTGGGGAGAGTCGCATGAACAGCTGCCGTCTCCACTCCAATTAGAGCAGAACCAAGAAAAAAAGCTTCGGTTCTCAAGCATTTCCAGCGATTTCCACTTCAATAAGTTTTCAGTGCCATTTGTGGGTCACTAATTGAATATAGATGAAGTGTTTGTGATCATTAAAAACGCTACAGAAGATAAAATAGAATTTTAATGTCGTTAACAGAATTTTTCAGCAATTAGCAACTGAGTTTTTACATAACCAGCACTCCGAGACTCTCTTGTACAGATGTACTGCAGACCGCATTTTTATTAGGTTACGATCATTTCAAAGTAGCGGCCGTGCTCTTGAAAACATTTTATGTCTCTTTTGGTCATTCATGTTGGGTTAATGATGGGGAATCTCATTCATAGAGTCAGATGCTGTTGTCAAAGCCAGGCAAGGTCATTTCCTGTCTGTTATTGCACATGTTAGCTCCTCCTCTTCATTGCTTTCCGGAGTTTCCACCGAAGCACTGAGCTGCTGCAGCTTGAGGTTAAGTGCCAAGAAAAGATGAAATGGAGGTGGCTCATCAAAGACAAATTAGCCTTTTTTTACCTGACAAGACTTGACAAAAAAAACACCTTTCCTGCCACAGGTCATGTCAGCATCATAGAGATCCAGTACTCCAGGAAACTCCAGTTTAGGGCATTAAACAGGTCGATAAAATGTTGTAATGTTTTTAAAAGATTCTGTTCTGCTCATGAAGGCTGCATTTATTTGATTAAAAATCAAATCAGTTGAATACCCCTGATTTAAAACCATTTTCTATTTAATTACATTTTAAGTGTTGAAAACAGTTTTGCTACTTTTTTACATTATTGTAACATAAATCATTTTTACTGTCACTTTTGATCAATTTAATGCATCCTTGCTGAATAATAATAATAATAATACCTCACTGACCCCACATTTTTGAACTACAGTGTTCAGACCATATAAATATAGACATACAACGCTTTCGATATGTATAAAACTTTAGACTTGTCACTACATGAGTTCATATAAACTAAAAGTGCTTGATGCACAATGAAAATATACTGCATTTCTCAGAGCTCAAAACCTTCAACCAGGTCCAAAAATATGCAAAAATCACAATTGTAATCACAATCTTAAACACTAGAAGAACTAACTATACTGTGTAGGTAAAACCTTGTTTCTAGTCTTGTGTAGCACCTACTGCTCTGCAGTTCCTTCTGCAGGATCCCAACTTTAGACACAAAGGGCACAGATTGGGGAGAAAATTAGTAGGTTGTAAAATTGTCTTTTTTTTTTGCTCAGAAACCTTGTCTAAAATCCCAAGGACAATATTTCAAGAATAGAAGTTTGTTGAGACTATTTTATCAAGTTATAGACAATTGTTTGCATAGCTACAATAATAGTACTTACTGAAAACTTTTAATATCCACATCACAAGCAATATCAGGTTGTAGAGGCGTATTTCAAATCATAATTAGCACGATGCCTGATGAAGACTTTAACATTCAGAGCAAAGTTGAGGCTAGAAGATACAGTTTTCATAGAAACAGCTTCATCTTTGTCGTCACAGCCGTACAAATGTTTCAGCTCAGTGTCAATGAAAAAGTCTCCTCCAATAGTATTTTATATGGTAAATACAAACCTACACAGAAAAAAAAAATCAGCTAAAAACGTGACGTTCACAGAAAACACACACAGTAATCTGTGGTTTCTATTAGTCAGACGGGTCACTGGCATAGGATCAGATCTCATGTTTGTATCCTAAAGCCGTCCTCTCATATTTTCTCAAGAGAGTTTGATGAGTCACCGTCTCATTATTTTCTCCGTGTTTGACTCGAGAGCTTGTCTCATGTCATCTAAATAGGTCATTATATAAGCTATCTGCAAACTGTGTCTCTGTGTATAGATACTTACAGTCTCTATACATACTGACCTTTCTATAAGATATGCTAAATTCAACCTTTTCAGTTAAAATAGTTAATTCTGATTGGTTAAATTAATGGCGTAGAGTCTGACTTTATACTAGAGCAGTTTTTATTTTTTACAGCAGTCTGTTATGGCAGATCAAAATAGACACAGCAGCACAGTCTTTAGACCTCATGACACCATTACCCTAGTAAAATAAAATAAAAAAAGATTTAAAATGCATTTATTTCATATTAAGTACGCTTCAAATCCATTAACACACTTATTGACTTACTGATATAAAATTAGAATGAAACTTTCTTTATTGCACATTTCTTAATATTATGCATAAAATGTGTTTTCATATCTAAAACACGTTTAATAAGGATTCTATGATTTCGGTATAATGTTGGTCTTTAAATGCAAGCTATTTAAAGTGTACAGTACCTGAAGTATACTTGCAAGAGTTCCACTTTAGCACAATCAGATATACTTCGGTTCATCTTTAGTTGGACTACTTTCGCACAATTAAACTGCATTAAGTACAAAATTAGTAGTTCCAATTTAGCAGACTAGTATACCAACAGTACAATTGCAGGGTATTTTATTAAGCTCATAAATATGTAAATGTATTTGCAGTATACTTAGCACAAAATAAATGTATTTCAAATACATTTTAGTATATTTTTTCACTATAGGGTATAACTGTGCAAAATACTAAAATCTAATATACTAGTAACATCAAGTTACAGGTGCATCTCAATAAATTAGAATGTCGTGGAAAAGTTAATTTATTTCAGTAATTCAACTCAAATTGTGAAACTCGTGTATTAAATCAATTCAATGCACACAGACTGAAGTAGTTTAAGTCTTTGGTTCTTTTAATTGTGATGATTGTGGCTCACATTTAACAAAAACCCACCAATTCACTATCTCAACAAATTAGAATATGGTGACATGCCAATCAGCTAATCAACTCAAAACACCTGCAAAGGTTTCCTGAGCCTTCAAAATGGTCTCTCAGTTTGGTTCACTAGGCTACACAATCATGGGGAAGACTGCTGATCTGACAGTTGTCCAGAAGACAATCATTGACACCCTTCACAAGGAGGGTAAGCCACAAACATTCATTGCCAAAGAAGCTGGCTGTTCACAGAGTGCTGTATCCAAGCATGTTAACAGAAAGTTGAGTGGAAGGAAAAAGTGTGGAAGAAAAAGATGCACAACCAACCGAGAGAACCGCAGCCTTATGAGGGATTGTCAAGCAATTGTCAAGACAGATTGATGTGCAAAAACAGGCTCAGACAGGTCTCAGGACCCACAGAGTTGTCCAAGTTTCATGAATTTCTCTTGTTAGGTGCTATGGGTGTGTTTTTGTTGACCAACCCATAAATGTTTGCATCAGCCTGGTTCCAAGGTTTTTCCATTGGCTTTTGGATAATTGCAAAAAATAAGCTCTGTAACCAGTTTATGAGTTTTACATGTTTTGCATGTTTTTTTCGTCATATAATCTTCACAAATGAACACTTCTATGAATTGTGAAGCATAGGCTTCAAGTAGGCTATAAACAAACTACACCATCTCTATTTAAAAACATTTTCTCTGAAAGTTTGAGTCAGAATAGTTTACAAGAGCAAGATTATAAACATAATGAGGCTGTGAAAGCGACTAGTGATCAGATGAGTTTATCTGTTCGGTGTGATGATATTTAAAGGTGCAATAGGTGATTGTCTTCAGAAATTTTTTTTGTTATGCTGGTTGAAAGTCTCTTCACATTACGATAGCAATCATTAAGTTAAGTGGTCTGTATGTATTTATCTGTATTTATATATTCTGTGGAAGGCGTATGATCAAGAAATGTTCGTCCAATCAAAATGCTCGGTCCGAGCATTTTAATATGCTTTCCTACCTGCCTGTCAACGTATGTATTAGCATACCTCTGCGCACCCTGTTCGCGCAGACAGGATACGTCATCAGCGCGTTCACGCACGCTGTGCAGACAGAGCGAGGATGGCAAATAAATATCAACAACCCGATCTTCCTTCCTGGTATTGTAGTACTTTTAAAGTTTTCTCACCGGTGAATGGCACATGATGTAGCCCAGCGGTTAATCCAGTCCTCGCGCCAGCTCGTTAGAAGTGAGCTACGTGCATGAACCGTGTTCCGGTCGATATGATCCCTACACAGTGTTCATTGCTCCCTACTCCCTGAGCAGGGAAATCCGTTGAAGTTTACTCACTTCAGAACATGGGCTGGAATTGGGAACCGCTGATGAAGCCTATTGTAGTAATGTTGTCTCTGGTCTGTGAGTGTAAATGCGTTCAGGGGGCGTGGCTTTGGACGGCGATTGCAGGGAGGGTGGGACGTTCACTTTCAGTGCTATCAGGCTAAAGTTAGCATTTTCCAAAATCTCCTACTGCACCTTTAATGTCCTCAATAACCTCTGTAGTCCAATTTAGACACTTGTCGGCTAACACCTTTTTCAAGACAAAGGAAAAGCTTTAAAAAAAATCACAAGAGGGTATTACTGATGTATTTTATGTTGTAGAATAAAATGTGAACATTTCTAGAGTTTGTGTTAACACAGACCTTATTTCAGGAATTCAACCAAAAACCCATTCAAAAATCCCGGTGACTTCAGGACAGTGCTAAAATAAAGCAATAAGCCCCAAGAAGCCGTGGTTTACAGTGAATTTATAATATCTAAGGGGCGTTGTTAGGCATGATGCGAAGCTAAAAAAACGTGGTTTACAGTGAATTTATAACGCCCTTAGCTGGTTCTCCAATCAGAATCAAGGACCGGAACTATCCGTTTTATAATGTAACTCATTTCTGGGTTTTGGCATACAAAAATACGTAATTCCTGCAGCTCTCCATAGATGCAGGTCACGCTTATGCTCCTCAGTAGATGTCCCGTCTTGTGTATGTTGTACCCGTGTGTCTGTCCTTCACCCTTCTCCTAAATCCTGTAGCTGAATCCTGTCCCTGTCCCTGTCCTCCTCTCCTTTCCTCTTCCTGTATCTCCTGCACCTGACATGGCTGACAGTGAGTTAACATCTAAAATGAAACACAGGGCTCAGACGGCCACCCCGGGCTCCAACATCACCAAGAGCTCCAGTGTGGGTGGAGACATGTGCTCGCTGGGCAGGAACGACGACGAGGACGACGACAAGAAGAGGCGCTCCAGCTTCGGAGCCAAGATGGCCGCCATGGTGGGACTGGGGAAGAAGAGTCAAAGCACCTCCCAGCTGGGCCTGGAGGGTGAGTGAACTGAGCTGATACACAAACACAAACGTGTGGAGAACTTTATGGAAGCTCCCTGCTAAAACGACCAGGGGTGCGTTTCCTAAAAGTATTGTTAACCAACTGGGATCGCAAGTTCTGTCATTACCAACATAGTTCAACGATTCGGTGTTTCCCGAAACCATAGTTCAAACGAACATTCGCAAACTTACGTGGTTGGAACTATAGCTCTCGAAGAAACACACCCCATAATGGTTTTACATGTTGGTTCAGTGCTGGTGATGCAGGTTGACAATGCTAGTTTTAATGGTTAAGCTACTGTAGTTGAGAAGATTTCTAGGGAAGCATCCAAAACATAGCAGGCCACCTCTGGACAACTTTTACAGTTCAATTCTCACGGGCATGATTCCCAAGGTCATGGAAATCTCTGTGGCGAATATGCATTTTATAGTTTTGTTTATAAGCATTGCTAATAAACCATATTTTGCTTGTAAACCATATCGTGGAGGCTTTTTAATTAACCAGTTCAGTACAGATAAAGGGCTACCATTTTAGACAATTTTAGTCATTTTTTAAAACCATTTTTGTGCTCACAGAGGCTTGTTTCTTTCATCAAAAATGCAGTAAAAATAGTAATATTGTGGAAATATTATTACAATTTACAATATCTGTTTTCTGTTTGAATATATATTAAAATGTAATGTATTCCTGTGATCAAAGCTAAATTTTCAGCATTACCCCAGTCTTCAGTGTCACATGATCCTTCAGAAATCATTCTAATATGCCGATTTACTGCTCAAGAAACATTTATTATTATCATCGTTGCGCTGATTAATATTTTTGTAGAAACCGTGAAAGATTTTTTAGTTCTTTGTTGAATAGAAAGTTCAAAAGAAGATTATTTATTTAAAACAGAAATCTTTTGCAACATTGTATCTTTTGTAAATGTCTTTACTGTCACTTTTGATCAATTTAATGCATCCTTGCTGAATAAAAAAATAGTATTTACTTAAAAGTAAAATAAATTCTAACTGACCCCAAACTTTAATGTATATAATTCTCTTTTTCTTTCTTAGTATTTTTTGTCTTGTTTTCAGTACAAATATCTAATCATTCTTGAAGATGAAAAATGGCTTAAGATATTAAGTCTTGTTTTCAGAAAAAAAATATCAAAATGTTGTTAGTTTTTGCTTAAAACAAGAGAGAAAAATATCTGCCAATGTGGCAACAAAAATAATATTGTTTTGCCTTTGAATTAAGATAATATTATATATAAAAAAATATATAAATACATTTAGATCAAATAAAAATAGTATAATATATAATAGTAAAAATAATATAGATACATTTTTTAGAACATAAGACTTAATATCATAAGCCATTTTGCTTCTCAAGAAAATGCATCTTGATTCAAGAATGTTTCGATTTTAACTTAGAAAACGACAAAAATACTAAGAAAATCTTTTTTGCAGTGTAGTGTTTTGGGAGATGGCCTTGCAAGTTTAACTTTATGTAGTTCACACCCACGTAAAACTCTATTAATTTACCGTGAATAAGGATGTCTGGTGGATACGATGTTTTGCTGATGACCTAAATAACAGATAAAGAGAAGGCCATGTTTGGATGAGGTATTTTGCAGAGCATTCAGTTCTGTTGTAAATGCAGGTCATGCAATCAATAGGCACCGATTCAGCCTGTTTAAACAGTCCAGTCTACTATGATGTGGTTTCTCTGTTTCTGTCAGTGAGAGTTAGTCTGTTGTGTTTAATACGGCGTTTATCAGCACAGTGGCTTTGAGCAGAAGCTCTCACGTGCCACTCTTCAGATAGATGTGGAGGAACCGTGAACAAGCCTGAATGTTTTTCTAGGCCACAGTGTTTGTTATTGTGGAGATGAACGGGGTCTGGTCGTCTCAAGGTCTGTCACATTTCGATATTCGGACTACGACGTGGCAGCTGCACTGATGCCAACACCATCATGGATGGCATGTCAATCTTTTCAATTGCAATTAAAAATGAAGGTTCTTTATTGGCATGTATGATTCCATCGTGAACCCTAAACATCCATGTATTCTTTCCATTGTACAAAAGGTTTCTTATAATAGAAAAAAGGTTCTTTAGAATATTAAAATGTCCTTCATACTAAGATCATACCGATCACTGAAAGGATCTTTGGGGAACCAAAAATGGTTATTCTATGGCATTTACTGGCGAAACCCCCTTTTGGAAACTTTGGTTCCATCCATATAGAGTAAAGTCAGTCTTTCCATTACCAACAGTACACATCCCATCTGATGCAACTGTTGCTTTTGTACCAGCACAACATGATATTTTTATATTGTTCTACACTGTTATGCAAGAGCTGGCTTTGAGCATACAGCTCAGCCATTCAGATCAATCAGGATCATTAGGATCCAGTTGGACCATGCAGTCAAACTGGTACAATTTATTCATAAAACTGAATCTGAATAGGTCTGTGTTCATTCATTTTACAGCCCTGTGTAATATATATAATCACTGCCAGTAGAAACTCATGTAGAAGTCATGTGGTGCAACTACCATGCAGAAAAAAACCTAAAACAGGAAGATTGCACTTGCAGGGCCCCACAGTCAAGAAAAATTTACCTTTTTTGTGATAAACCAAGCATCATTTAGGTTGCAAAACGTCACATGGTGCATCTACCCAAAAACTTGATATTTTCATATGTATAAAAAAGATTAAGATGTACTATATACACTAATGTGTTCAAAATATAAGATAATAATTTTATATATATATATATATATATATATATATATATAAAAAAATTTTTGGATTACTTTGTTTTTAAAACAAATGATATATATATACAGTGGGGCTCTGCCTCATAAAGACCTGCTGGGATGAGATGGATTGAATCGGATGCTCTGTGTGGTCGTGCGGTGAAATCTGTGATCAGACACACTGGTCAAAGCTTCCCTTTAGATAAAGTTTACAGCATTTACAGCGTGCGAGGGGGCTCACAGATGCCCTGTTGCTGTCTGTTGAGGGAAGACTGTTGGGTTTAAAAGGGCTTTGCTGCTGGAGGAACTTCCTGCAGCGCTTGCTTTGATTTGACTGGTGAGTTGACATAATGGATGCAAATGAGCACTATTTCAGTTCATATAAGCTAACAGCTTGAGTGACGCATCTGTGCTGGAAAGAACACAGCGTTTCTCTGGCTTTGTGTAAAGTGTGTACAATCGGACAACATGCTTGCATGCATTCCCTTTTATGACTAGGTTTGTATGTAATGTTTTGACTGTACTAAGGCATAAAAATACCATAATATGTTTGCAGATATTTAGGAAACATGCCAGGTTCACATTAGAAAAACAATGCTAAAGCCAGTTATTCTACTTTGAAATGTGTGTTCCGTGTCAGAATGCCTGTTTTTGTTTTGGTCTGTGTGACTCCGCCCACTGCCAGTTTACCCAATAGTATTTCGACACCCCGGGTTGCCAGTTGGTGAAAAACACAGCATATTGCAGCCATCGATGCCAGCAAACAAACTGGATCAGAGATCGCAGATTCTACCAGATCTAAAAAGCCTCAGCATCCATCTAAAAAACCTCTATGACCAGAGGAAAGCACAGAAAAATCAACTCAACTTACAAAGTAGGGCTCATTGCCTTCAATTGTCAATTGCGCTCGTTCTTGTTGTGTCCTCAATCTGGCAACCCGCGTGAGCGTTGAGTCTAAGGAGGAGGGAGCGGGAGAGACAGCTCTCTTCAGTATTTTGAATTTGGACTGCAATGCCCATTTCAACCATTAGTTGTCAATATTACATACTGCACATTTGTGTCATTTACGCACCCTCAGGGCTTAATTTGTGCCGGAACAAGCTGGATCCGGATAGGGCGCCTAATTTGGCAGATCCCTCTCCTCACGCACCAATGAAAGATGTTCATGCTGTTTTACAGCATGCATATTTCATGAAAAAGCACGCATGATAATGTCAATAACTTTATCCCCTTTAAATATAAAATGATAATAAAAGTATGAAATTAGATATGCGTGTTATCAATGCCAGGTTTTATTTCCATGGTAATAAGCTACATCTGTAATTGGTGGACACTTATTTGTGTGTGTGTGTGTGAGGGGAAGGAAAGCTTAATCGGAAATGTGTAACAATGGTGAATTCTCTCTTTTATTTTCTTTCTTTCTTTCTTGTTTGTTTACAAAAATACTAGCTTTTTTACTTTGTACATGAACAGGTACTTACAGATAATTACAACCTCAAAAGTTAAAATATTACACACAACCACGTTTAGAAGATAATTGCCTTTATTTTTGTTAAATACAGTTCTTAATGCAACATATTTGACCAAACATGTATACAATATTTCTTACATTTAAACTCATTTAATAAGAATTTTATAAGTAAAAATTAAACAATTAATCGTTGCGAAAAGACTGATGTGACTCGTTTAGGTGACTGACATCTTGTCCCTTTAGTTTGCTTTGCATAAAATAAAATGATTTACAATAAACTGTTTTATAGATTAAATAAAACGTACACAAACCTATATTTTACCAAGGAAATGCAAGTCGGCGGCACTGAGAACTACCTGAAGCGGATGCAAAATATCCCCGCTTGCCAGATCGGTCACCCCGCTTTGTTCTGGGACCTCGAAATTTAATTAAATTAAAAATGTAATTTAATTTAATTTTAACAAATTACAAATTAAGCACTGCACACCCTGGACTTGTTCCAAACCTGTATGAGTTTCATTCCTTTGCTGAACACAAAAGAAGATATTTTGAAGAATGTTGGCATTCAAACAGTTGCCTGTAGCCACTGATTTCCATAGCATTTAAAAAAAAAATTCATACTATGGAAGTCAATGGCTACCTGCAACAATTTGGTTACTCACATTGTTCAAAATGTCTTCTTTTGTGTTCAGAAGATACAGGTTTGCAATTTACAGGTTTGGAACAACTTGTAAATGATTACAACATTTTTCATTTTGGGGTGAACTATCTATTTAACACACTCG